TAGGATGGTTTCTCAGAACACCGGGGTGGGGGGTTAAACACACGGTTTGTTGAGTCTGCAGCTTCCTGACCGTCTGCGTCGCTCACAGGGAGAGCCTGCAGTGCATCAGTGTACATTATTAACTGTGAAAGTCTGCAGCAGTACATAACCAGGCTCGCCTCCTGTTGGCACATTTACACATGTGGGTAACGAAGCGCTGACATGCTGCATGATGGGAAATCAGTCATCAAAGCTTCAGAATCTCTCACCAGCAGCCTTCAGCTGACTGTTGGTGTATACATGAAACTGAACTGAGTAACTCCATGAAGGAGGTGATAGAGGCCGTGATGAAAGCACAACCTCATTTCCAAACTGTCACGCGCTCCGAAACCAGTTGGTCCAGTTCTAGTCTGATATCTGGAACCTGTTTGCCTTTAGACGTGACGCAGCGTGAGGAGGTTAATGATGTGGTGGAGTGTGCAGCATTGGACCATAAACCACATTTAAGCCCACACTGGAACCAGTTGGCCCATCACATATTGTTTTGTAGCTTCAAAGCGTTCCAGGCTCCGGTTGCCTAGGTGACCCTCTAATGTATGTACCAGGTCATAGGTCACTCAGTGGTATTCTTCGCTGTCATTGGGTAGACCCTTGAGTTGCTCGCCTCCACGTTGAGGAGAGAACATCACAGATCTGCACACTTCACATCAGCGGCCCTTTCTTCATCCACGTGCGCCTGAAGTGGCTAAAGATGGTTCACTCGTCACTGAGAATACCTTCCAGTGTGTATGCAGCTTTAGACTGGTTGGTTCTGACTTGGAACTGATGCCACAGTTATCTTATTGGGAGAACTGGGACAAAATGTGTTCCACAGGGGTCAGTACTTGGCTCTGACCTGTTCACCTGGTACTCAAATAACCTAGTATCACTGACTAACCAGCAGCTCTATTCATTCCTATGCTGTGGATACTGTGGTGTACTCATTCCTTCTACTGACAAAGCCTTGAACTACCATTCATCCATTTTTATCAACCATTTACCAGTTTAGAGAGGCTGCAGCCTATCAGAGGGCTGCTCTGAACCTAAAAACTGTTTGGTCATTTCAAAGATGTGATTAGATTTAAGCTCTTCTGGTTAGATGAAGACTTATATTTTTATACTTGTGTGGAAGAACTGATGAAGACGCAGAGTTAGGTTCACTTTGAGCTTTAGAAACAGAAAGTGAACCTAACTCAACTGTCTGTCCGTCGTTGCTGTGAGATGCTTACAGGAGGGCATGATGAACTGTGGCTCGGTGTTTCCTGCATAGCCGATCTTTGTGTATCTGCAGCCACACAGACAGAAACAACAGTTAGACATAAAGGTTCTCAACATCTGGCTGTGGGTCCAAATATGGCCTCTGTGGAAAACAGTGGAGTGACTCCCGGCAGACATTTATAAATTCAGTTTTGCACATAAAACATTGATAAAACATCAGGAAATGAGTCAGCGTGACCGATTACTGCTTTGTCTTTGACCTCTATGTAAATATTCAGTGCATGTAGAAAATGATGAGCAACAGTAACAATAATCAGGACCTACAGATACAAAGCACTGAGACTTCAGGAGCGTTTGCCTGACGACACTCACACAGTTTGACTCATTTTTACTGCAGACCTGTACTTAGGATGATATACTTTTACCTCATCACAAGGAAAAAGTACCTAAAGTAACTGTAGTAACTGTAAAGTAACTGTAGTAACTGTAAAGTAACTGTAGTATTTTCACTACATCAAAAAAACACGAACAAAAAAATGACATCTTGTTCCATTAAACTGAGTTCTGACAAATAAATCATGAAAGATTAAAAATGAACTGAACTGGCTGTGATGGCTGGATAGACCCACACGTCTAATACCTGACCCTGGACCCTGGGATCAGTTCTAATACCTGACCCTGGACCCTGGGATCAGTTCTAATACCTGACCCTGGACCCTGGGATCAGTTCTAATACCTGACCCTGGGATCAGGTCTAATACCTGACCCTGGACCCT